CTGTTTAACACATTTAATGTGCCTGGTATCAATGCCAAAATCAACGAATTCAATATTAATTAAAATTAGAGCTTATAAAAATTTTGCTGTTTATCTTCCAAGAAAAGATATCCTGTTTAAGGCAAAATTTGATAAATCGATACCCTGAGTAAAACAAAAAATGATAAATTCGATACCCCGTTTAAGACAAAAATCTCGAAAAACATACCCTGGCTGGCCGCACGTCCCCATTAAGTCCTTATAAGGAAGTGCCCCCCCGGGGTGAATTCATACAGGGCTAGGGCTGAATATCATAGTTATTAAATTCTCCGTTGTCTTCTCTGAAGCGATCGGAAAGTAAAAAATGGTTCTTTTCTTTTTCAGTTTTCAGATTCTTACACAATCAAAGCACTGATCGAACAGTTGCGAAGACCGCCAACAAAAATGGCTATTATAGGTTCCGGATGTTCAATCTCAGCGGTACTTGTGGCAGCTGCTACTCACTTTAGGAACTTGATTCAGGTTGGTAACGAGAGGGGTCTGGTAGGGGAGAATTTATGTCTATTAAAATTACACAGTCTTCAAGAAGAGCTCAAGATTTTTTAATTTTGTATGTCTCGAGCTACCAGTGAGCGATCCTTTTGAATGTTCATCTTGTGGATTTTATAAGAATGAAATACAAAACCCGAGAAAAAGCACTGCTTTATAGCTGTCCATTGAATCCCATAAGCTATTAAAGGAATTTTCGCAGTTTCATCGTGAAAGCTCGCATCTCATCGGCCACGACGATTTGCAAGAAGATATCCAGTTTTTCGGGAAAGCCTTCAAACGTAAACTACTTCCTTTCTTTCTTCTCTCAAATCTAAAAGAAGTCGGCTTAGTTCCCCTGCGTTCCTTAATGCTTGTTCCGTTGATTTTTCCTGAACTTACACTGTTTATCAGTGGTCTCCCACGACTCTCATTCCATGTCATCCATCAGCATCTCTTATTTTTCAGATTGGTTTCAGTGCTGGGTCACCACGCCTTTCAGAAAAAACCCGGTATCCACTTTTCTTCCGAATCAATGCCCTGGAAACGATTCTTAACAAGGCTGTGGACTCACTGCTGCGCAGATTTGGCTGGAGGCGGATTGCTATTGTTAAACAAGACAAGGATCTCTTTAATGACGTATGATAAATATTCTACAGATTTAACTAAGATAGCCGGCCAGTGTCCCGTCTGACCTGCTGTTATTACTGAACAATGCTGCTCTCTCCACCATCAGGCAAGATAGAACATGTCCTGTTTTCCGACTGGGCAGAACAGGATTATCGTGAGAACAAACTTGGCGTATCTTGTCAGCCCAGTTTCTTTTGGCCAAGATTTTTACAACAAAATTGCAAGGTTTACAACAACAGAAGAAAGTAAAAGTATAGTGGGCCACGACGATGTTCGAGAATTCTTTCGTAGTTCTCTGGATATCAAGACTCCGTCCTTGGTCGACTAAACACAGACAACTTCAGCCCTTTTGACCTCACCCTCAGTCAATGATGCCTTTATGGAAGATTCACCCTCCAAGCATCTCGGGAAGGGTTAAGCCGCTGATTCGGAAGAGCTAAAACCCAAAATGACATTTCTCAGGTCAAACAAATCACAAACTTTTGGTTGTGTTTTCCATAAAGCAAAATGATTTGTTGAGATAAAAACAACTATATTGTAAGGGTTTTGATTATTGTTTCCTAATAGGCTCACGAAGATCTCCAGACAATACTGAAAACACAAGATATTTCTGTGATTTCTACAAACAGCCTTGTCGAGGACCCAGATAATGTCATATTAGATCTTAAAGTTAAGACTTGAAACATATCAAAGGCTGTTACACGATTGTAGGCAATCAGTTGATCGATCAATCATCAGCTCAAGAGGTACTACTCTTGCTTTTGACATGTTACAAGTATCTTGGGGTTGTGAACCGGACGATCCACGAATACCACAGACTGATGATTACGCCGATACATTTTTTAATCAACTTTTAAGACCAGGACGAACCTCGAAACAAGCAACTAAAGGCGCATTGTGTGAGATCCCCTCATCCGACTTCCATGCTTCTTGCATCAAAGAGAGTGGTAAGAACCTCTATAACAGGAGTGAATGACCACAAACGAGTGACGAAAAATAGGGATATCACAGAACAATCATGTTTAAAAATCACAATCATCGACCCGCAAACACGCTATTGACTGAGATTTCTAGCTGTTAAACCTATAGCCAACAGTTACCAATAAATCGAAACTGAGCAACATTTCACAGATATAACAGCGGCTAGCGTCGAGGAAAAACTGAGCGGTCACCTTCAACTAGCCATCCATACTTGTTGCAATCGACAGACAAACAACTCCAGATTTGACTCTAATGATCACTTCCGCTGGGTCTGTCGAAAAAGTCAATCACTGTCACGAACTCAGACCTTTTCAGGTTGAACCTCAAACCAAAAATCCGGCATGCGATCACCAATGGCAGAAAATAAATCGGAATTAACTATATAAATTCAAGGAAACTAATCTACGCAATAAACTTTTGTGTTACAGAAAAAGAAAGCTCGTATAATAATTAGCGTGATGTACGCAGATAAATCCAGACTTATCATGTGTGCGGTAAGCAAACGAGTTTGACCACATTCTGTACTGACATTGTACCCTTTACACCCTAACATAGGTATACATAATCTTCATACTGTTCTATACGTTTCCCGCCTCCCGGTTAGCTCAATGGATAGAGCGCTGGATTGATGTGCGGGAGGTCCAGGGTTTGAGCCCCGGCCGGACCAACACTCAAGGTCTTAAAATAATTGAGAAGAATATGCTGCCTTTCTATAACATCAAGAAATGGTTAGATATTCTAGTCTTCTCGGATAGGGACGAATAAATGGAGGTCCCGTCTCCTGCAGTGTTAGGGGTAGGAGACGTTAATTTCCCACGCACTAGATTACTGTGTGATGGATGTCCTCCCCTGGGGTGGGATGGTTGGGTTGTTGTCTTGCGTTTCATACATGAGCCTGTGGCTCGGGCAATATGGGTAACCATGCCCCACGTAAAGACATTAAACTTTGATTACTTTCCCAAGTGGCTGATAAGGAGACTTTTTATAGCAATCAAGAGCTTCTTTAGAGATCATTTCCTTTTCCCAAAACCTTAATGTGTAATTCGGATGATACAAAGAGAAATTAAATCGGCTAGTCACATGTAGAGGTCAAAAAGTGAATGTCACAATAGAGTTTCCAAAGGAATCGTGGATTCAACTCGTTTCCCTTGCTGCTCTCTGTGTTTGATTTAGCAACCAACTCTGACAAGTGACCAATTTAATTCTCGTACCCTCGCATTTTCTCACTGGCTTCTCGTGATATTTTTGTTTTTTTCCTGATTGGCTGCTGTGATTTCCTTGTGATAGTTTCCCTATACAAAATCGCAATGTAATATATTTGGAAAGCATTATACTAAACTGGACCAATGCTAAATCACGTTAACTGCTGATCATCACTAGGCCTACCGTCACAAACTGTAGGGTCCTCACATGCAATGGTTCTTGCCCGATTGGTACACAAAGGACTGGTGACGAGTCGCAGATGTGCCTGGCTGCTCAGCTGAAGACATTCGACAGCAGCAGCAAATTTCCTAGCTGTTGAGGACTTGGTAATGGACGCTACAACAAATCACACAATTAGCGGACTGGTAAGGACAGTTTTAGCGCGTGATCATAGGCAACCGATGTGATCATGAGTAAGAAGCTTGAGATAGACCAGAGGAGATGCTGAAGAGAGTTCTCTCCTGCACGTGTCAGTCTAAATAGCCAAACCTCTTGCGCCATGCTGTTTGTTCGAGTGTCTGCCACGCATGCTTAGAAAGTTCCACCAGAACTAGGGAGTGGGGGGAGGGGGATTGTTCACCTCCATTTTTGAGACACATTAGCAGCTCAGGGCCACGAATCTCTCAGACAGTTGTAAGGAGGGGCATAGGTTCCAGTTCACCCCATTGTAAGATGGCGATAGACGGAGTGGCTTAGTAATGAGCGATCTGGACTCTGGTTTGAAAAACCCAGGGTTATTATGTGGCACCTTTGAGTAAGTCTCACGTAAGTCATGGTTTTCATCCATTCTTACCCTTTCTTTATGGACCGCAGAGGAGTTTATGGACATGTACACGACGGTGCTTAAACATTATTCATATTCCGCTAATGGGTATGCTCCGCTAGGATATGACGCAGCTTGGGTACTAGCCTTGACGCTGAATGAGACGACGACACAACTTAACGAAAACAACAAGTCTGTTGATAGCTTCTCGTACGAACATGCCGAGTTTGCGCAAGCTCTATCGAGAACACTGCTTAACCTAACGACTAATGGGATAACTGTGAGTCCAGTTGTGTGAAATATGTTCATTATCGTCATTACTGCTGTCATAGTTGACAGAGGTTTGGAAATAAAAAAATTCTAGGTAGTTAAACCATCAGAGCATCATCAACAACAAAGTAATAATAACAATGACGATGATCGTCACGACCAGAGTCATCCAAGGTAATTGTAGCGTCACTATTACGATCTCGACCACAATCAACGGGAAAATTAAACTTATCGTGCGATAACTACAAACATAACGCTCGCGTTTTCCTTCACGATCAAGACCACGATATGGATCAAGAAAATGGTAGAGTGCTTTTGGTTGAGTACCGTAAAACCGAAAACAAACTAATCACAACGGCCAATCAGACGAAAGGAAAAATCCTTAGGAGCCAATGAGAACTTGACCAAACCGCCTAAGCCGAGGAAAAACGCGGGCGACCAAGTTGTGATTGATCGACTGGTTCTTAGTTTTGTATCTGATTGGTGAAGAGAATGGTGCGTGATTTCTGGACCAATTACCAAGCGAAGTAAGGCAGAACCAATGCAATCTTGGATTACTTTCGACACAGTTGAAAATTGCTCTTAGAATTACGATCATGATTACAAATTTTTTGTTAGAAGAGAAAAATGTTATTCTTACACTTCCCCAAAATAGATCTAAAGAAAATCTGAACCAAAAAAAAGTCCTCTCGGCAACACGAGCATATGTTGTCTATCAATGAACAAAGGGCTGAAAGGTTGTTGGTAAAAGATCATGCTGTTCACGTAAAGCTTATCCTAAACCTATCAGTATTTTCGTTGTTTTTTTTTTCTTGGATCGCTGAAATATTCAACGTTATTCATTTAGGGAGTTGTAAACTTCAACAGGAACCAAGAGAGACTCAATAAGATAAGGATCCAACAGTTTCAAGGTAACGCCTGTTTAATGATAATCATCGATGAGAGGGAAACACCGATTAGGAAAAGTACGATTATTATGATAACAATGGTGTTAATAACAATGGTGTTAATAACAATGGTGTTAATAACAATGGTGTTAATAACAATGGTGTTGATAACAATGGTGTTGATAACAATGGTGTTGATAACAATGGTGTTAATAACAATGGTGTTGATAACAATGGTGTTAATAACGATGGTGTCAGTGGAGGAAGCGTTTAATACAACAACATACTTATCCAAGTGATCCTAATCTTATCCCTTGCACTGATTAAGAGGCATCGATAGAAATACTTTCATTGGCGCACCTTATTTTAAACATGAAGTATAAAAACTACCGGAAATGCCATCTGAGCAATCTCATATCAAACTTTAACTTATACATCGAAAAACTCTTTTGAATAGAACTTCGATCTGTAATGAAATCAAAATACAATTCAATTACATATCGTCTACTTGACAAATAAGAATGCAAGGAAATTGTTTTTTTTTATTTTTATTTTTCAGGTAACAGAGGGGTAAGGATTGGTCACTTTGACCCGGAAAACATGACCTGAGCAACGGAGAACTCGCCATGATTCCAGGACAGGAGGTAAGGTAAATGATAGCCTTTATTTCAAACACCCTTTTTTAAAATGCAATTTGCAGATATAGACTAACTGCTACATAGTTTGTCTGATTGATTTTGATTACAGCAGACGGGAACTGGGAAAGGGGGCCGGATCGAGTGAGAGTGAGGGTGAGTATCTGTCGTCTACCCCCTTGGTATAAATTTGTCTCTCTCCACGTTCTTCCAATGAATTAAGAATTAAGATAGAGCCTATACATTTTGAAAGAAGAAGTGTCGCGCCAACGACACAGCTGAGACTACTTCTTTCCTATTTTTGGACAATGATTATGATCAAAAATACCGTCGCCCTGTATGAAACCGATATGAGCAAACTGCTGGCAATGTAAAATGAATTACTCAGTGGCTGGCTTACTGGTAGGAAAATGCTAGTAATTTTTGTTATTTTCAGGTGGTAACCCTCCGAGAGATAAGGATCTTGTGAATAAGCCGCTGGTAAAACCCAGTGGCAATTTGTTTTATGTCATGAGTTGTGTGGCTATGTTGGGTTTAATGTCATCTTTTGGTTTCTTTACGTCAATTCCACTACAGACATCACAGGTGAGTAACTGAATTAGCACAGAAATAAAAAAGGAAACCCTTAATCGACATCTCTGGCTAAATCATTTGTTTCTTTATGATAATGTAGTTCTTCAGTCACAGTAAATCATTCCTGTAATTTCACTGAGCTATCGTTTTGTTTTGTTGTTTAGCATCATCAGGCAATCATCCCCAAGGCTCAATAACATGATCGTGATTGGCTGCATGCAAGCATATTGCTGTGTATTTTTGTTTAGAGCTGAGACTTTTGTGGAGTCACTGGACAGACACACATGATCTGTAAGGTATGAAGTTGTTGGGGCATCTCTCCCCCTACTCGTTTGTCCATTTTCTCGTTCTCTTGTTTCGCTTGATGGATGAAGTGCAAGGAAAGAAAACAAAAGACACGTTTTGATTTGTATTTCTTTCTCTTCCAGACAAGATGGTGGATTTTTTCTCTTACATTTCGCCTAGCATTTGGCACGATGTTTGTCAAAACATGGAGGGTTTACAAAATTTTCATCAACAAGCATCTTTACAAAGAGGTCAGCTATTTCCCATTACAGAGCTCTAGCTACCAGGAAGTAGAATACTTCAGTTAGGAAAACGTTAATCGGCACAAAATTCTTACCTCAGTCAGTCGAAACAATCAGTCGTCTATATTCCATCCATCCCCGACTTGGGTTACTTTCTGCCAGAATCAGTTAACTCCGTTACTTTCAAGACATAAGTTAACGAATTTTCATACGCAAGTACTGATGTCTAATTCATTCGTTTATTATGCTCACAGTTAGGCTTACTGCATGATCGTCACTTATTCGGTATTGTCTGTGGACTGGCTTGTTTAGATGTTGTGTATTTAATAGCGTGGGAGCTATCAGATCCTGTTGATGGTAGTCTGAAACATCTAAGTAAGGTACGAAGTCTCAGCGTACCTAGAACGAACATGGTATGAAACTAAATACATACATACATACATACATACATACATACATACATACATACATACATACATATGTTAATTGACCACTCCCCATAGGGGCTTTTAAGGGCCAATTTCCACCCAGCAACCACCCTAGGGGAGGACATCCATCACACAGTAATCTCGTGCATGGGAAATTAACGTCTCCTACCCTAACCCTGCAGGAGACGGGACCTCCATTTATTCGTCCCTCTCCGAGAAGACTAGAGTATCTAACCAGTTCTTGATGTAGAAAGGTAGCATATTCTTCTCACTTGTTTTAAGACCTTGAGTGTTGGTCCGGCCGGGGCTCGAACCCTCGACCTCCCGCACAGCAGTCCAGCGCTCTATCCATTGAGCTAACTGGGAGGCAGTTAAATGAATCAGTTACTACGGGAGGACTGGCTGGAAACTTCGAAACCGTTTGCCAATTTCTAGGCTAAGTAAATAGCCTCTTAAAGATCCTCGAACTTTGGAAAAAAAGGGCAGATGCCTGCTCTTGAACTAATTGCTTTAACAAGTTCATCCATTCTTCGATTCTATGCAGATGCTGTCCATGTTGTTGCTGTTGCTTTTTTTTCCCTTAAATTATAACTTTTTCTCTCCAAAGGAGTCACATGACCCTTGAGAACCCTTCCCACTATCTTGCCACCGCAGGAAGTGTATTGAACACGACTAAGCTCCCCTCTGACGTCACTTTCCCAATATTTCATGGCACTCGGCTATTCTATAAATCACCAACATACTATCAATACTTGATGAATGGCGATGAGTCGGTTATGAACTGAGTGCCGTGGGACAGTCGACTGCCAAATCGGCCAACAATTGGCTGTCGACCAGACCAAATATCGACTGACTTTCGACTGACAATAACTATGTCCACAGAGGCTTCTTAGACTACTAGTTCTCTTGACAGAGGTTCAGTTTACTGACTAGGAAATATCTCCAGATGGTAACGAGATCACACAGAGACAAGTCCTGACTGATGCACTTCTGGTAACGAGAATTTTATGGTTGAGCCTCTGGGTGATATGGAAAACTTTATTGCTGGCTATGGGGCTTTTTCTGGCTTGGGAGACAAGACACGTCCCTTCTTCTTCACTAAATGACTCCAAATACATAGGAATGAGCGTGTATAATGTAGTTATCATGAGTATTATTAACGTACCTCTGTATTATGCTGTCGGAAAGGCTCATATCCAAGCTAATTACGCACTGTTTGCTACAATATTGAACTTCATCTCCACATTTACTCTTCTCGTATTGTTTGTTCCAAAGGTAAGCACAGAAGGGACATATAAATGTAAATCCACCGAGATAATGCAATGATATTCTTCAACGATGAGGCCTCAAAGTAATTTTTACCGCATCTCGGACTGCACCAGACATTCTTTTTTTTTCTCTGGGAGGAGTGGGGAGGGTTTGAGGTATATTCGACCTAACCATGAAAAAAATTGGATACAATGAATATATGAAGTTCATATATTTTGAACTGTGGTATTAGATACGTATGATGCAAATCTATATTTTTCTCTTCGCCTATAATTAAGGTACTTCCCAGTAAATTCATTTCGCTTCCCCTGGTTAAAAAACTCTTCGTTGAATTGTAACAAATTTTGACATCGGTTATCAGTCATACATGCAAAACGCACGCTCGTGTATTATCTTCTGTTCCTCTTAAGTATTCCTGCTCATTAAACGTCGTCTTTAGTACTACCACTTAATTAAAACAGTCAGTTGTAAATTGTCAGATAACTAAAAGCGATAATCTATTATTAAAAAACCAAACCTTTTTTCCACAATGTCCTGTTCCTAAATTGTCTTTGCGAGTAAAATAAACCAAGAGGTGAAGAGCTTTATATTTGTCGTAAGGAAGAGATCTTTAGAAATTGAGGGTTTTCATCTGAATTATTGATTGGTTTTGATCTAAATTATTGACCACGACAATTAAAAGAGTTCATTTCTGGATCACTTTAATTCAGTGTTTAGCTTAAATATTATTTATTGAGGACTTCTTTTTACTGCGGTGCATTGCTGCAAAAGCGTTGGTAGTTCCAATCTGTCGTAACGCGGTAAAATAGTTGTACTGTCTAACGGCAAGGGCTTATTTCACGTGTTGTTTGAGCTTCCCAGCTTTCTCACCAAAGAAAAGAAACAAAGCAAACTGAAACAAAACGAAACAAAACAAAACAAAAACCAATTTTTAACACCAAAAGAGACTTGTTTTGAAAGAAAATTATTTAAGTTGAAACATTTATATGAGGAACACCTTAACTGAAGGGAAATTTCTACTCAAGGGACGCTCGTTGTAATGCCGGGATATTCCTCTAATGAATGTTCCTCGGTATCATGGCTTTATTCCTCTGTCACTTTACATTACAGTGGGGACATCTTTGGTTTTCATGAGAATTGCAAGTGGGTAATCCGAGAACGACATCAGGTTTGTCTTCTGGACGCGTTGCTCTTCCCATTAACCTTGGCGATCTGTTGAAAAAAGGAATTAGGAAGCATATTGGTCGTTCAGTAAAGTGAACATGCCATTTACACACTGTCACGCTCCTGATTAAAGACTTACATTAGCAACTTTAACATGACAATGCCGCAGTATGGACTCTTTTAGCCAAAGCGCTACTTGGCGTTAGACAGTACAACTATTTTACCGCGTTACGACGGATTGGAACTACCAACGCTTTTGCAGCAATGCACCGCAGTAAAAAGAAGTCCTAAATAAATAATATTTAACCTAAACACTGAATAAAAGTGATCCAGAAATGAACTCTTTTTATTGTCGTGGTCAACAATTTACGTCCCTCAATTTCTAAAGGTCTCTTCCTTACGACAAATATAAAGCTCTTCACCTCTTGGTTTATTCTACTCGCAAAGACAATTTAGGGACAGCTCATTGTGGAAAAAAGGTTTGGAATTTTAATAATAGATTATCGCTTTTAGTTATCTGACAATTTACAACTGACTGTTTTAATTAAGTGGCAGTACTAAAGACGACGTTTAATGGGCAGGAATACTTAAGAGGAACAGAAGATAATACACGAGCGTGCGTTTTGCATGTATGACTGATAACCGATGTCAAAATTTGTTACAATTCAACTGAAGAGTTTTTAACCAGGGGAAGCGAAATGAATTTATTGGGAAGTACCTTAATTATAGGCGAAGAGAAAAATATAGATTTGTAAAATGCGAGGTAGGGATGTGAATTTTGAAATTAATTAATACACTGAGCTATTTTTCCAGCAATTGTTTTTCTTTGTTTTGATCTCCTCGGTGAAATACGACATGCCATCTGTTTTTCCAAATGTCGAAGTTAACCGATTTCACTTGAAATCTCCAAGACACGTGTATTTTTAGACTCGTGTTGTTCGCCTGAGATATTGTTGTAGGAATTTGATCAAAATTTCCACCTACTGGGCTAAGTTCTTTACCGAGACAATAACGATGTTATTAACGTGGGTCTTGCAATTGCTTGAGACAAATTGGCTGGCTGTCGGAATACAACCTAATTTAATATGCTAATCGAAACTTATTTGGCTTTTTCCTCTTTTCTTTCTAATGTTTCCTGTTTTCTGTATTATATAAATATGACAGTTCAAAATGACTAAAATGAAACACGCATGATTCCCTGTTATTACTCTGAGTTTCGTGCTTACGCACTCGATCGTCAGACCCGTACGGCATGAAACTCGGCCGACTTACAGGGAATCATGCGTGTTTCATTTTTAACTGTATTTCGCTCTACACTCATGTGTATTGAACACTTTCCAACCGCATTTGCTACAATTTCCCACAATTATATAAATATTATATATTTCTATATTACCATTGGAATTAGGTGAAAATGTACATCAAATTAAGACTGAAAAACAACCTTAGAATGAAAGAAATTTGTTTGAACCTCTCACGAACTAAGCTTGAGGGTCTATAATGAAAGATGATGGTCCGAGGCCGAGGTCTCATCAATCCTTTGGCCAATATTTCGCAGCACTCGGTCAGCAAGAAATTTATTTTCACCCGCTGTTTAATAAATTCCCTGATAGAATGTCTAAGTTTATTTGTATCCACTCTAAGGATTTGACAACAACTTTTTTTCATTGGAAACCGAAAAAGCTGGCGAAACATTTGAAATGAAAAATTTACTAGCATGTTCCTCTGGCTATTTACATTAGTATTCATGGTTGGGTCTTACAATTATTAAGGAGATTTTTCTGAACACAGTTTAAGTGACTTTGTGTTGAAACATTGGCGGTAAAATTTTTTTGTCACCTAAGGCGACATTGTTTTCTTTTTCTGCTCTCTTATTCTCTTCGCAATTCAGATCAGCACCGTCCCATCAAATAGAAAACAATTCAGATTATTATAATTTGACTAAAACCGCAAGCAGAACGTTAATTTACGTCAAAACGTCGAGTCACCTCAAAAATATTTCTAAACTGATTCTTATGCCAGTGTTAATATTTTGTAAAAAAAATAAACAGTGTGAAGTGAAGAAATAAGATTTAAAAACTGTTTCGGCAATGATAATGGAAAATCTTCCAGAACAAAACTTGTCGTCAGTTGCACAAACCCAAAATTAAAGAGGGACTTATGAGTAGGTGTGACATAAGCTAAAATTGAATTTTCATTTCAGCTGATATAATAACCATCGCACCTGTTTTTTCCATATTACATAAGACTTAATTCTGTGGAAAGCTTTGTACTTTTCCAGCGTACCGCTTCAATAAGTCAAAGGTAATGCTGCTTTATTTCAAATGGGAGTAACACGCGATCTTTGTGAGGAAGTCTTGATTAAGTTTTACGCCAAAGCTGAGTACGTTGACTCGGTTTACATCACCATGAATGTTATCAACGGTTTACTCACTTTCAGTGCAATCTTTGGAAATGCGGCCATAATTTTCGCCCTGCAAAAAGCTTCATCAATTCCGACTACAACAAAAATTCTTATGCAAAGCTTGGCTGTAACTGATGTTTGCAGTGGCTTCTTCAGTCATCCATTGTACATCGCAGTTGTCACACGCATTCGACAAAGTCATGAGTGCAAACATATTCAAGGAGTTCTGATGGCGTTTTTCGTTATTTCCGCTGTTCAAGTCTCTGTATCCCTCCAAGTAGTAACTGTAATCGGAATTGATCGCTTTCTATCAATAACTTTGCATCTGCGATATAATGAGCTTGTAACACCAAACCGAGTACTTGCAGTTGTCGCTAGTGTATGGGTATTATCGCTATCAATTGTGTTCGTCGGAGTCTCCAACGAATTTCTGGTTGGAGAGACAGTTATTCTTGTGTTTGGTTATGTTGGTATGCTTTTACTCTGTATCGTTTATTCCAAAGTTTATTTCGTGGCTCGCCGACATCAAGTAAATATCCAAAGCCAAGCGCATGTGACGGCTCATCATTTGTCGAACACCACAAACCCGGTACGAAACGTAACTTTGGCTGTCAAAGTATTGTATGTGTTTGTCGTGTTTGTATTTTGTACCTTGCCATACCTCATTACTTTGACTGTGCTCCTTATTTCTGACCCAAATGTGGTACTTCAAGGAACCATTCAAATGTCCGCCGTTTTAGTGATGCTTAACTCATCGTTAAACCCCATTGTGTTTGGTTTGAAAATGAAAGAAATTCGTCAGATCATGAAAAGTGAATTCAGGAAGCTTTTCCGCTGTACATAATGTTTAATCTCTTAGAGACAGTGAAGCAGAAAAACTTTCAACTGTGACTGCCATTTAGCTCATGCGAGTAAATGTAAACAGAAAGTCAAAGGGTATTCGCAGTTTAATCTGAGCTGAGGTGCGACACTCTCTTCTTCATCATTTATCCTTACATGTGAAGTTGATAGCTATAATAAATTCAGCGCCACAATTTCTATTCTGAATCGTATTGTGTGAATCAGTCGAGTTTCGTTCACATAAGGCTTTTCATTTTCTTTGTATTCATATTGCTTGTATAATTATGTTCATATTACTTGTTTTTGTAGTTTTTCGGATGGAAATAGGTGTTAAGTAGGAATATTTAAGTCTAAAGTATTGATTACTTACACCTGTAGGCTGTTCAATAAGATACCTTCCTTTCAAAACTGACAGTTAAATGTCAGCAGTGTGTTTTCAGTAATTAATGAATGGCATTACATATTTAATCGCGCTGCATTCGAACTCAGTGGACTGACCAATCAGTTGAAACGAGCAGACTGACAACACTCGAATGATAAAAGGGACTTTAAGCAAACCACGACGGCTACGGCAACGAGAACGTGGAAAAACAATAGATGTAATTTGCAGAACAA